AAATGTTTTACTCTTGTATAAAGTGAATGAAAATTTCTTATAACACTCCCTAATAAAACTTATTTGATCAACATATATATACTACTATTCAATTAAACTTGTTTACAAAGAAAAATTGACTTGTACTGAATGGTCTTTGGAAGTTCTGAGGCGTGAATCCCTAACCCAACAATTCCGCTCCCCCTAGTGACAGCTCCACAAATTACAGTTACCCTGCTTAAGAATTCCCAAGGGTGGGATGCCTGGGAGGCTCAGGTTGGGTGTCTGCCTTTGGCAGGGGTCATGATCCCAGAGTCCTAGGATCGGGCCCTGCGTCGGGCTCCCTGCTCGGCGGAAGGCCTGCTTCTCCCTCTCCTCCTGCTTGTGTTCCCTCTCTCACTGTGTCTCTCTCTCTGTCAAATAAATAAAAATTTAAAAATCTTTAAAAAAAAATTCCCAAGGGTATTATCATTCATTTTTAGGTTAAACCTTTTTCCTTTTTGAGGGAGGACTTATAAACAAAGGGTTCCCCCCACCCTATAAAGTCCAGCTCCAGTCATCAAAAAGATTACCTCCTGTTAGAATATTCAGTAAATTTCTGTGAAAATTAACAGCCTGATTCATTAGTGCTTAAGACTCTGCTTAAACTTCTCAGGCACATTCTCAGGTACTACCCAGGTAAATAAAGATTTTTTTTTTTTTGAGGTGCCTGGGTGGCTCAGTCAGTTAAGCATCCAACTCTTGGTTTTGGCTCAGGTCATGATCTCAGGGTCGTGAGATGGATCCCACGTTGGGCTCCGTGTGCTGAGCGTGGAGCCTGCTTGGAATTCCCTCTCTTCCTCTCCCTCTGCCCCTCCCCCACTCTCTCTAAAGGAAAGAAAGATTTTCTAACTGGAAGAAATAAATGTTTTGACAAAACTTTTCTCTCATAATTTATATACCTAAAGAACGTTCAAGGCTGAAAGGCATTCTTGAGACCTTTTTCTCTGGCATTCTTTCTTCCCTGTACTCTACAAGTGTTTTTGGAAGTGTTTTTAGTATACAATTGCTTATGTGCTAGAAAGATTTTTGACCATAAAATCCAAAATGTTAGTATCGCAACCCCAGCTCTTGTCACTTGACTCTGACCAGTGACACTAGGCAACTCTTTTGTTGCCTGATTTATTCATGAGTATAATAATAATTGATCTGTGCCAGCACTCTGTTTCTGGCTGGGACCCACCATATCACATGGAACCACCTGTAAACCAGGTTTGAATTTTTTCTCTGGTTATTAGGTAACCTCCATAATGTCACAGATGTGGGCTGAGGGAAAGTAAACAGTGTGTGCAGTGTTAAGTGCTCTGAGCCTGAGCTCATGAAATTTACTTGTCTAGCCTGAGTCCAATCTTGTAGATACCACTTCCTCTTGACACTAACATGCTGCTGTGCGTGCTTAACCTGCAGTGGGACAGGGCAATAAGCCCAGACAGCAGAACTGAGAGCAGCCTCTCTTGTTCAATTTGCACGAACATATGTATGGAGATGATGTCTAATGGTTTGACCAGAGGATCAGACACTGGACAACTATAAGAATCCTGGCAACTAGAAACTTTAGGAAAGAAGTATATGGATGGATATCTCAGAGTAGTCCCCAAGTGTGAGGATATTTGTGTTTTATGTGAAAGCTCATCAAAAGGCCTCTCTACAGGGAAGGCTCTTGGTATCAGGGGGACAACATAGCCTATACTGTTAAATGCTGGCTAGCTTCTTGCCCCAGCCATCCTAGTGCTTGCTCAATTGTGCTACATTCTGGGAAAGTTCCCTCGGCTTTTTAATCTTTGGTAGTGTCCATTCTGCTCTTCAGCCCATCAACTAAGCATAAGTAATCCTATTTTTAAATTTCTAGGATCTGTCTTTGTTATAGTAACCTGTTGTGATAGATGCAATTGCCTCATTAGTCTTTTAGAGACTACGACTTACAAAGTTTATTTTATTCCCTTAGGGGTTCATTCTTGTTTGTTAGATTTGGTGTACCTTTGTGGTGTTTTAAGTATTCCTCAAATGTTTAATGTTTGGTTGTCCTTTTTTTTTCTTTTATAAATTCCTGTTTACCTGTTGAATCTAAGATCAAATTATGGTGCCTTTCCTCGCTAGGAGCACCTATGGTGCTAAGTGCCCTAGGGTCCTGCCTTGTCAGAATTCTTTCTAATAAAGCCTGAGCTCTTATTTTTAGCCTGAGATCAGTGCCACAATCAGCTGTTCCCTTTAAGATTTTTTTTTTTACTCTGATGTCTTTAATGGATATAAAACTATTTTAGATTGTTTCCCTGTCCAACCCTTGCATTTCAACTCTTTCTGCTGAGCCTCAATTCCAAGAAAATAAGGCTCAGCTGTTCCCAATTCATTCTTTTAATAGCTCGCCCATGATCTCCTATTCTCTGTATTTGTCCTAAGATTAAAATATCTCTGGAATTGTTATGTATTTAGTAGTTTTCTCCTGCTCTGATCTGGGACATGGGCTTTCTTGTTCTTGATCCTCTAACAATCTAACCTCATTTATTTTTCTTCTTTTAGAAATTCCTCCACTTTTGTTCATCAATAGCACCCTTTGTGTTTCCCAGAGTCACTTAAGGATTTACTCTTCTATCAAAATACAGTGCAAACTATTTCACGCACACAGTATAGATTCTACTACAATGAACACCCATGTGCCCATCATCCAGCTTGAGAAAGAATTTATCACAAATAGCACCGAAGTGTTCCCTCTATTCCTCCTGATCTCATTTACTTTCTTCCCTTCTCTACTTGAATTGTTTAAAGGGATTTGGGACATGAAGTAGTTGAACATGATCAGTTTGCTATTCCAAGCCACTGAATTAAAAATTTCAAAATCAAGATAGAAAAGTGTTTTGAGAGGACTGCTCTGTCTTAATTGATCATTGATGTAAATCCTAATTATTTATTGTCTTAAGGGGTATACAATGCATGGCCAACACTGGAACATGTTATTTCCATGCATGCAATTTACAATTAAAAATTATGAACTCTAATGTAGCTAAGTTCTCACCCCACTTTTAATGAATTTTAAATTAGAATTTTATCAGTATCTTTCCAAAATAATTGATATCTTTAATATATCACTTCAATGTTATTATTTAGAACTAATGGTAAATGTTCTCTTTAGTCAACTTACTGTATAATATTAAAATAAAATCCCTAGCAATAAAGTTTCTAAATTAGATAAGTGTTGAAATGGATGGGAGCTTTAATGCTCTAGAGATAGAGGATAAAGGTCTATGTTCATTAATTTCAGAAATGAATTTTTTGTGTCTCAAAGATGACCATTATGAGACGTACAATGCATACAGAAATTGGTTTACTGTAGTAAGTATGTGAACACACACACACATCATTCTCAGCAAAATGTAACAAAAGACTTCAAGGCCGGGGCATGTTTTGTGAGTGCAGCTTTGAGGAATGCTTGCTCCTCACAGGAAAAACACCTGGTTGGCGATGATTAAGTATTCTGCCTGTCCAACATGAGATCCTGCCAAGTCAAGGAGAGACTTTTTTTTTTGTTTGTTTGTTTTAAGGAGAGACCTTTAAATAGGGACTTACCTTTTTACCTCCAACCACATCATCTTGAAATTCTAACAGTTACACTGAATGGCTGCAAAACCTTATTTTATGCTATCAGCACCTTCTTGCTACACTGCCCACAGATTAAGTGCTAGTAACTGGGTAACACACAAACACTTAATTTGCAACTTTCAGCCTAAGTCTAGGAAAGACTGACCAAGTCCTAACCCAACAAAATCCAAGTGAAATTGTAGTTGACATCTCTTTCACTCTGATCAGCATCTGTCTCTTCACCTTAATTTTACTTTGGGAAACTACCTGCTTTTACTCTATGCTATCTTAGTAGTACTGTCAAAGTCCTTGAAGGCATGGGGTAAATGCATCATCCTAACTAGGATAAAGAAACTGGTAGGGATTTGATTCATGAACATAATGACATTAAGATAGAAAATAGAGAAGCTATTTTGATGGCAGGGCTCTAAAAGGACTGTTTCTCAATTTCTGTAACCTAGATTCCTAAGGTTATCCTGGTTTTTTATCCTTCCTAAGGCTGTTGGTCCAGTCTTTTCTTCTAATTTTAAAAAACTCTGTCCTACTGATAAATTTTGCTTTGCTTAGGATAGCACAAATGAGTTCCTACTGTTTGCAAGCACAGAAGCCTACCTGCTCCATTCATTAACGTCATTACCAGCTGTTCCCTTAAATGGGAAATCTGTAGCTTTTAACACCTTACTGTGTCTACTGTGAGTCATATGAGGGTTTTTTTTTTTTTTTTGCACCCCATATAAGCATTTTTAAAACAAACCACTAACATTTGTTTCAAGAGTTTTTGACCAACCCTGAGTTAACTTCAAATTTCTTTTCATCCTAAAAAATAGTACAGTATTTTTATGAATGAAATAATACATTTCTGCCAACACAGTACTGATCAAAAAGCACTTTAATAAACTGGCTTTGGTTTCCACCCTTTCCAACTTATTCTAAATAAAAAATAAATGTAAAACACAAATAAGATTAGTCTTCCCAACTTTAGTATGTATAAATAAAAATGACAATTTTTAGATAAAATAGTTATAAAAGAGAAATCATATCAGCCAGAGAACACTTTAGCTAATCCCTCCCTACTCAAAGTCACACAAAACAGCCTTCCAAGGAAAACTGACCAGTGAGACAGGTACGTTCGTGTTCTCAGCTATAAGGACTTAAATTTAAAATGCACTCACTCTTTCATCTTCTAATGAAAGCTAACCTACTCTCAGGAACAATGTGAGCACTGTTATGGTAGTCTAACTCCTAAATGAAAATATGAGCTGAGATACAGTTTACTGTAATAATGTAGCTAAGAAACCTTTGAAAATTAGCCAAGGATCAAAGTATTTACATAAGTTTAAGAGCTTATCTTAGGATGAAAGGTGACACAGGTCCTTAACCTACTTTTAAAAGATAATTGAAATTAAACCTTTCAATCACAACCAGTCAAAACTTTAATTCAGAATGTTTCTTAAATATCAAATTTCTCTTCACAGACGCTATGTCCATTTTCTTCATAATCTTCTCTTGTTACTACCATATCTTCAAAATCGTCATTCTCTGATATCAATTTTCCACCTTCCCAGGCGTAAGTAATAGGGCTAAAAATAAAGTTAAAATAAGTGAACCCAGATGATTTTACAGAACTGAAATGACAGAAAACATTCATTAGTAACTAAAACGTGGCAGTCTCTACCCAACTTGATTTAACAGAAAATCACTTAAAGTGTGAAAATAAGCATAAGCTTCACAGGAATAAGGTAAACTAAGAAAGAAAAGAACCTTGGTCACCAGTACAACTAAGTGTTCTTTTTTTCCCCTGTGCCCTGAATTTATAGACCCTCTACTTCTAATAAAAAACAAGAATACAATAGGTCAAAAATGCATAAAAGGAAAAACACTGTCATAACTGGACCTAAATTTTGTATGTGGCAAAGATATGTCATCTATTTTGCACAAGAACCCATGAAACAACTACAACTATTCTCTCATTTTACAGATTTGGAAAATGAAGTTCAGAGAGGTTAAGTGCGGGACTACGTTTTAACCCAGAACTTTTTTTAGTCTGTGCTTTTGCTGCCACACTGTTACCTCTAATAAATGAAACATTTACATGGTAGGACATGGTAAGTAAAACTAGAACACATAAAACATTTAGTTTGGTTTTATCTTCAACCAAGGTTATACTTGTGTTATGACTCAATTCTATTTGTACTGTTCCTCTCCTCCAAATCAGTTTAAAATCTGAAAAATAATGAAAAGTTAATAAATGTTTTTATTCATTGTATTTCCTAACCTTTAAATATATATTTACCTACATATATATAACATACATACATATATAAAACAGATGTACAATAAAGATTTGATGAATAAAAGAATAAAAATTATTTCTGTGGATCCCTTGGGCTGTAATGTATGCATGACTTGCATTTCAAATGCAGGATAAAAAGTGTGTAGGGGGAAAAAAGGCAAAAAAAAAAAATATTCGTGGGGAATAATGAAACATGGTGGAAAAATAATAATAAAATAAATACACAGGATAAAAATCCAGTATGCTTCATTTTCTACAAAGTATACGAACATTAATGCTGACAAATATTATTCCAATATCCAACAATTATTTATTCTTTAATCTGATAGCTATAAATTAAGTGAGCAGATGAGGGCCTTCTATTTACAGCTAATGATTTAGAAAAATTCTACTTTACTTTAAAACAAAACTCTAAAATTAAGAGTCAGGTATATGGGGAGCACCTGGGTGGCTCAGTCGGTTAAGTGACTCTTGATTTTGGCTCAGGTCATGATCTCAGGGTCAAGGGATCGAGCCCTGTGTCAGGCTTTGTGCTGGGCATGGAGCCTGCTTAAGATTCTCTCTCTCCCTCTGCCCCTCCCCACAACCTCTCCTCGCTCACTCATTCTCTCTCAAAAAAAAAAAAAAAGTCAGGTATATGGAGTCTTATTTGCAACTCTGCCTGGCAACTTAAGACTGGGACAGCGGTTAGGGGGTGTTATTTAGACATATTTTTGGTAAGAGACATGTATTTGTTCCCAACTCAAGATAAAGAGAACTAGATTTTAGCCTGGTCACTGCTATTAACTTATTTTAAGGCCTATAACTTATTATAAGGCCTCTGCCAAGTCATGGGCCCTTGTTTCTTTATTTACAAGGTAAAAACGTTGAACAGGATGTGGCCCCACTAAGCTCCTTCCTCAGGAACTACACTTAGCATCTTAGCTTGAAGCTGCCATAGCCCACTGAAACGTCAGGTTCATTATTTTAATTTTTGAGAAAGGGAAAATGAGGATTCCAAAGGTGAAATAAACCTGCTAGAACCAGGCTTTAAACTCAAGTCTACCTATTGACCATTTTATCTACAAAATGACTTGCATGTTTTATTTCTGTATCAGCCAACACTTACTTTTCAGGCAGCACAACTGAAACATCGTAATCTGTTGGAGTGAGACATCGAACTTCTGAGTAAACCCGATCTCTAAATCCGGGGAAAAGGGAATTTCCTCCTGTCAAAACAATGTTCTTAAAAAAATGCGGCTGCATTTCTTGAAGAGGGAAAAAAAAAAGAAGAAAAGGCATCAGAAAACCTGTTTACTTATCTTTCCAGAAAGATAGATATGAAGGCTTAGGCAAGAGCAAACAGTTATAGTTACCGGTTGGGAAACCATATAACTTTTTAATAACCATAAAAATTACTTATAATTTATAAGATTTTATAATGAAGTTAAAGTTTACAAAAATTGACCCATTAAACAGAGTGAAATATGACCTCACAGATCTTTAAAAGAAAGGCTAAGGTGAAGAGGTTGAACTACTGACTCCTTATATACACATGTAAGCTGATACATAAATGAGTAACATTCTAGCAGAAGTTTGGTAATTATACTTGTTCTTCCCTAAAATGGAGGAGGTCTTTCTGTAGGCTGAGACTGTGAGCTAAGGTAAGGTTAAAAAGGAGGGCCTTCAAGGCATTTTAACTTGGAAGCCCAAACTTCCATGTGATCTCACTGAGACAGACCTATTTATTGTGCAACATTACATTTGACAGTGAAAAATACTCATGATCCATAATAATAAAGGATCTTATGTTCTATACTCAAAGTTACAAGACAGCAAACCTTATTAGGTGCCATATGGTTAGCTGGTATTAAAAGCCACCACAGGGAAATCTATGAGGAATTAACAAGTAATGACCACCACACCTAAGGCTTCTGTTCACAAAAGCAGCACACAGTTCACTTATACTGACACTGAGTCTCATGGCATTAAAGCAGTACAGTATAAAATGCTGTACAGCACTACCTGCAACTTTACATAAAACACGAAATTAATGAGACATTAATACAAAAACAGTTGCAAAATAACTACATTAAGGTGATGGCATTATGTGATTTTTTTTTTTTAATGGGACATTAAAAAATTGCAGGAGCTAGATTTTCTCCAATGCCTGCACTGTTCCTTATGAACTAGGAAGACACTTTCAAGATATAAAAGTTCTCTCTAGAACTCTAGAAAATGATTTAGGTGAATCCTGCTTCAGGAGAACCCACACATCACTGAGAAGCACCATGGTTCAGCTTCATTAAAATTAACTTCCTGTATATTAGTCCAAATAAAACTGAAAGGACAAACCAGTCCCATCAATAGCTAAAAACCATCACTTCGTTAAATCATAAATTTCTATTCCATGTAATTTGAGTTAAATTAAAACTTTTCTAAAACAGATACAGGACTTTAACAGTCATGAAGAGATTAATTTCTTCAAGTTTAAGCAAACCATAACTTTCCCTGTGCCAAATTTCTAATCTAGGACCAATAAAGAATTATTCAAGTGCACTATGGGACCTGAAATCTCTGCAAATAAAACAGGCTTGCCACGTGCCTGAAATTACTTAGAAAACTCAGGTGATTTCTCTATAGTTCACAGAGCTTATGAGTTTTTTTTTAGAAATATCATTCCCATTCAATACTTTATGTACCTTCAGGTAAGTTTTGAATTGAATAGACAATAGCTTCTGGAATACCCATTTCTTGAATGCCTATATCAGAAGGATTAAAGAGTATTTCTGGAACAGCAAATCTCTCATTGGCCAGACGAAGAATTTGTTCCCCAGATTTATATTTTCCACTTAACACCATCTCTTCCCTTGGCTTAAAGAAAAATAAGATAAAGTTTAAGCTACATTATCTAGTCCATACAACTAATAACATTTAGTAACATGTTATTACTAACATATTAACCATGTTCTTGGAAGTTTCAGGATTCTCAAAAGTTAGAAAAATGTGGCCTTCTCTGTTGCCTAAACCACACGAATAAATAATTGCTCATTCTAATGCAGATGTTCCCCAAACGATGATCCGGCCTTATTCCTTACATTTTAAAACAGAAAGAAAGGAGAACAGAGGAGAGGGAACTTCTTAACCTGCCTATAATAACAGACCAACTTCAGTTCCTAGAGAACAAAGAACATACTCTAAAAAACATGTAGTATGTCTTACATTTCTATCACTACTACCTACTTTCACTCTATGTATGCATGTATGTATGTATGTATGTATTTTTAAGTAAGCTCTACGCCCAACATGAGGCTTGAACTCATGACCCCAAGTTCAAAAGTTGCATACTCTACAGACTGAGCTAGCCAGGCACCCCCACTTTCCTGTTCTAGATGTTTACTGGATCTTGTGGCTGTATTCTATCAAGATTTCCCCTTTCCCAGGCAACCCCTTCAGGTCTCCTCCCTCCTTGGGAGCTTTGTACTATCACTTTGCTATTAATAAACCTTGCTTTCCTGCCCCCCCAAAAGATTTCCCTTTTCCCTTGTACAAAAAACCTAAATATTTAAATTCATTTATTCAATCTTCAGAAATCAATCTGAAATCCATGGACTTCATCAATGCAATTTTCTTGTTATTTTCTGCTGAGCTGTGTTCCTGAAGGGACCAGAAACAATAATCTTCTACAACACTCTACATCATTAAAATAATGGTCCTTCCAATTTTACTAAGAATCATCAGCTCTTCTAGATTCAATTATAGACATTCACTTGCAATTATATATGCAATTTTCCTCCTGAAACAGCACATAACCCAATCTTTTATACAAGTAAAAAATACTTAAAATATATAAAAATATTAATAATTACTAACAAGTAATGTATTTAAAGAATATTACAGACCCCTTAATATAATCAGTCATCTATTCTCTGTCCAGATTTCTGCTTCCTCAGAGGCTTTTGCTGACTTCCAAATAAACGGTCCCTCCATTATTTTCCACTATCACTCTATATTATCCTTCATAGTTTATATTGTTCACCATCACATGTCTACTACCTAGCACATAATGAGTACTCAATAAATTCTTGAATAACAGCATGTAAGTCAACAATGTGCCATTCATTGTATTAGGCATTTTATATACATTATCCCATTGAACTCTCACATAACCCCGTGAGGTAGGCATATTTTCCTTTTATTAATGATGTAATTGGGTTTGGCAAGGTTACATGACTTGCTTGAGATCATTCATCTAATAATCAAAAGCACATACAATATATTCCTTCCACTACATTTCCTCTCTTAACTTGGCTATAATTCTGAATTCTATTATTTGGAATTTGGAAATTCCAAGTTCGAAACATTATTCTTAAATAAGAATATCCAAAAATTACACAATTCTCATAATACTTTAGGAAGAGAAAGGAAAACTTTTAACCCAATAAACTGTTACAGTAGCAAAGAGGAAAGTATCCTCTCAGAGTATTCTTCCTTCTTGGGCAGAAAGGAAAATATCTCCTATAAAATTTATAAATTCACTTAAAAGTGATACTGGCTTGAGTTTGAAGGATATAACTCACTTTGTCAACACTCAAAGTAGTTGATGCACACTTGGGAGAAATTCAGTTGACAAACATTAGTGATTATGTAGTCCATTACCCAGATTTTAGAGAAGAGGATCATGTGATTGTCCCAGGCTCAAATATCTAAACTAGGGGAAAGAGCCAGAACTAGATATCCTTGTTGAATATTGGCTCTAAATCCATTAATCATCAATATATAATGTGGAACTACAAGTAGTTTCTAAGAGTACAACTCCAAAAAAGATTTTTTAGACACAGACAAAAGAAGGAATATATAAGGGCTACTGGGAGTTGCTGTTAGTCAATGTAGGCCATGATTACTACACAGCCTCATAAATTTGGTCCAATACTATAAAAGAAATGATCAGTTTAAATTACAATGGCTCTGCAGAAACTGTTCCTATAATCATTAATCGTGAGCCAGATTTTCTCAATTTAAGTCCATCAAGTACATTACATTTCACTAGGCATCCCCTTTCTGATAAGAGATAAAATTGCAATTTGTATCAGTTGTAATCAGTAACAATATTACAGAGCTTATTATTGTTTTTGTTACTATCATAAGTACTAGAAAATGAAGATTGTACATTTTCCCAATTATTTAAAAATATTCTTGAATAAACTATCAAAATCCAAGTTTTAACAATATCCTAAGGCTAAGGGCACTCAAATAATAATTTTTTTCATTTTATGTAGTTTTTCTAATTTCATAAACATATATCAACTTTCATCAGAGTTGTTGCATATCAGGCAAAAATAAAGTTAATGAAGTACTAAATTCAAAATAACTTTTTTTACTCTTCTGAAAATTACACATTTTAGGATTAATCCTAACATATACTAAATAAAATTGTTTCTAAATCTTAAAATTATTAAGATATATACGTGATTTTTTTTTGTTTGTATTTTTGGGGGTTTTTTTTCAATATACACATGATTTAACATGTATAGGTAGCTCTCGAACATGCGTTTGAACTACATGGGTCCACTTATACACAAATTTTTTTACAATACGATACTGTAAAAGTATTTTCTTTTTCTTATGACTTTTTTAGTAACATTTTTTCTCTAGCTTACTTTATTGCAAGAATATAGTATATAATGCATATAACATACAAAATATGTGTTAATCAACTTTATGTTATCAGTAAGGCTTCTGGTCACCAGTAGGCTAGTAGTAGCTAAGTTTTTTGTGGGGGTGGGGGGTGTCAAGGTATATGCAGATTTTCAACTGCATGGGGGGAGGGATGTCGGTTGGCACCCCTCACTGCCACATTGTTCAAGGTCAAGGACACGGTGAAAAAATTATAAATTTTAACATTAATTGACAAAGTAAAGATTAAACTATTACTTTTGAAATAAAAACGCAATGTAACAATGATCAGTCAGGTTTGGAGAAACTGGCAATCACTGAGACTTTACTCAGGGCCCATCCCTGTGAAATACAGATTACCACCACTATCGCTACAAAATGCTGCAAATTATCCATAGGTGTTTTATATAACTGGAGTGTTTTGATGAGCAATAATATATGAAGATGGTATTATCTATTATTTGCAGTTTTCATTGTCCTGTAAAGAAAAAAAATATACTTTCGATATCTTACAGAGGACTTGGGCTTCCAGCTCATGAACAGGCAACCTGACCTCATAATCTGTCCCAACACCCACTTTTGAAACCCAACCTAGGTCCTTCCACAAGTATTTGTCTCTAAGAATATTACAGAGTGATTTCAATTTTATGAGGCCTCCTCAGAATTCTGATTTGTATTTCACCTCAATAATATGTCCAAAAAAATTTTTTTTAATTTTAGGCATATAAGGAAGAATAATTAAAAGAAGTATAAAATTAAAGAGGTATAAAACCCATGTATTCATCAACTAGTTTGATACAGCTTTATCAATTAATACTCCCCCTTTGAATTTGGTGTTATCACTCACAATGCAGTTTTATACCTTTACTTCATACTTTATTTCTAAGCAACATAAATTATTCCATACAGCCTGAAAATATACATATCTTCCTAAAACTTGCTTAAAGATATCATTATGTCTTAGATATTTTAGACAGAAACATGTTTTTGAGATATATACATGATTATCATGTAGCTCCACTTCATTTTCACTACCATTTATTTTATAATATGAATATATCAAAATTTATTTATTTTCCTCCATTAGTGGATATTTGGGCTCTTCTCAATTTTTCACTCTTTTAAAATATACTGCAATGAATGATATCATAAACATTTCCTTGTGGAAACATGCTTACATTTCTGACCAAAGATTTTTAACTTCCCAACAGTCCTCCATCAAGTCAGCTAAAGGGCAAACTTCACATTTACCCAAACAGAACTGAGAGTTTACCTGAGCTGATCAAAGATAAGGAGAAATTATTTTGACATCCAAGAAAAACTGCTTCTCAACACTTTGAAAGTGCACCAGATTTTGCCCTTTTCAACTATAATTCGATCATATCAGACCAAACAAGTAAAATTCAGCCACATCAGCTATGTCAATAACTTTCACAACTGGCAAATAACCAACTTCTAACTGGATTTAAACTAATTCTTAAGAATACAGAAAAGGATTAATCATAATATAAATAATGATACTATCTCCAGATTTTTCCCATGTGCTATCATTCAGCTGATGGTTTTTTCTCTAAATAACTTTAATGAGATATTGATTAATTATTTATACACTTGTGTCTGGAGAAATGGTCAGCAGAAAAGCAGTTATCAACAACTGTTAGACTCTACTAAATCCAGCTAGATGTTTTTCAGATCTGACTGGGGTGGTCACTTCAAGCAATGTCATTGAGGATTTTTAAAATTACCTTACAAAAGCCCTTTTTAATTGTACTAAAGTCAGGCAAAACATAGTCTATCATTACTGTATTTTCTTCTCCTTTCAACCTGGAAAATAAAATAGAGACTTGTGAAATAATTATGTATAGCATTACCTAAGAATCAACTTTCTAATTCTTAGATTACTATTATACATACTTTGCAATATCCATATCTCTATAAAAATCCTGGGACACATAGCACACATCTTCTTTCACTTGATTAATCACATGTGTTTCATCCATAACATGTAGCTGCCTAAACAGAAATAAAAACTGTAAAATTTGAAATGGAAAAATATAAGTATAATTTACAATTACTTAAAATCTTTTTTCTGGAATTAAATCTTTGGGTAACTGATTTTTCTAAAATATTAAATTTTTGAATGTGTAAAATATTTTCAACTTTATAGAATGATCACACTTCCACTATATTTAATCTCCGCATTATCCCTCTGAGAGCAAATATTAATCCAGTTCGCAGAAAGAAACTGAAAACAAAGGCTTTAAATAAGATAACATTTATTAGAGAGCAAACTTTTTCCTCCTCCAACCATTCTGAATAGAATCTTGCTAAAATGACTTAACTCTCTGCACTTTCTTTTCTGATCATAGTAGTGAGTTAACACGCAGTACCTGACACATACTAGATGTTTAATAAATATCTGATGAGTGAACCCAAGAAACACAGCGTTAATAAGGAAAATAAAGATGCTTTTAAAAACTGTAGACAACACAAACAAATGGAAAGATATTCCATGCTCATGGCTTAGAACAATTAATGTTATTAAAATGTCCATACTACCCAAAGCAATCTACAGATTCAATGTAATCCCTATCAAAATGCAATAGTATTTTTCAGAGAAGTAGGACAAATAATCCTAAAATTCATATGGAACAACAAACAACTCTGAATAGCCAAAGCAATCTTGAAAAAGAACAAAGCTGAACAATGTCCACAATAGCCAAACTATGGAAAGAGCTAAGATGTCCATCGACAGATGAATGGATAAAGAAAATGTAGTATATATATACAATGGAATATTATGCAGCCATCAAAAGGAATGAAATCTTGCCATTTGCAATGACGTGGATGGAACTGGAGGGTGTTATGCTGAGCGAAATAAGTCAATTAGAGAAAGACATGTATCATATGATCTCACTGATATGAGGAATTCTTAATCTCAGGAAACAAACTGAGGGTTGCTGGAGTGGTGGGGGGGTGGGAGGGATGGGGTGGCTGGGTGATAGACATTGGGGAGGGTATATGCTATGGTGAGTGCTGTGAACTGTGCAAGACTGTTGAATCACAGATCTGTACCTCTGAAACAAGTAATACATTATATGTTAAAAAAATAAAGAAGATAGTAGGAAGGGAAAAATGAAGGGGGGGAAATCGGAGGGGGAGACAAACCATGAGAGACTATGGACTCTGAGAAACAAAGTGAGAGTTCTGGGAGGGGTTGGGGGGATGGGTTAGCCTGGTGATGGGTATTAAAGAGGAAACATACTGAATGGAGCACTGGGTGTTATACGCAAACATTGAATCATGGAACACTACATCAAAAACTAATGATGTAATGTATGGTGATTAACATAACATAATAAAATAAAATTTAAAAAAAAGAACAAAGCTAGAGGTATCATAATCCCAGATTTCAAGATATACTACAAAGCTGTAGTAATCAAAACAGTATGGTACTGGCAGAAAAATAGACATATAGATCAATGGAACAGCATAGAGCCCAGAAATAAACCCATGCTTATATTAATCTACGGTAAAGGAGGCAAGAATATATAACAGGGAAAAGCTAGTCTCTTCAATAAACAGTGCTGGGAAAACTCACTCCATATACAAAAACGAACTCAAAATGGATTAAAGACCTAAATGTGAGATCTGAAACCATAAAACTCCTTAAAGAAAACATAGACAGTAATCTTTTGGACATCGGCTTTAGCAACATTTTTCTAAATATGTCTCCTCACACAAAGGAAATGAAAGCGAAAATAAACTATCGGGAGTAAACTGAAATAAGTCTTTCACACAGTGAAGGAAACCAAACAAAATGAAAAGACAACGTACTGAATGGGAGAAGATATTTACAAATGATTTATCTGAAATGATTTATCTGATAGGGGGTTAATCTCCAAAATACATAAATTTTAGAACCCAGTACCAAAAGAACAAATAATCTGATTAAAATGGGCAGAGGACCTGAATAGACATTTTACCAAAGACAACATACAGATGGCCAGCACAAACCTGAAAAGATGCTCAACATCACTATCATCAGAGAAATGCAAATCAAAACAATGAGATATCACCTCACACCTGTCAGAATGGCTGGTATCAAAAAAAGAAGAAATTATAAGTGTTGGTAACAACACAGAAAAAGAGAAACTCATGTGTGTTGGTGGCAATACAAACTGGTGTAACCACTGTGGAAAACAGTATGGAGGTTCCTCAAAAAATTAAAAATAGAACTACCATATGATCCAGTAATTCCACTACTGGGTATTTCCCCAAAGAAAACAAAAACAATAATTTGAAAAAATATATGCACCCCTGTTTATTGCAGCATTATTTAAAATACCCAAAATATGGAAGCAACTCAAGTGTCCAATGATGGTAAATGAATAAAGAAAACGTAGTATGTACACACACACACACACACACACACACACACACACTGGAATATTAAGCAGCCATAAAAAAGAATGAGATCTTGCCATTCGTGACAACATGGATGAACCTAGAAGGCTTTATACAAAATGAAGTAAGTCAGAGAAAGACAAATACCATAGGATTTCACTTATATATGGAATCTAAAGAACAAAACAAAGCAAAAACAGACCCATACATACAGAGAACTGGTGATTGCCAGAGGAGAGAGGGTAGGGGGATGGGCAAAATATGTGAAGGGGAGTGGGAGGTATGGGCTTCCAGTTACAGAATGAGTAAGTCACAGGGATGAAAGGTAGAGCATAGAGAATATAGTCAATGTACTGTAATAGCATTTTTTGGTGACAGATGGTAGTTACATTTATAGTAGGCACAGCATAAAGTATAGAGTTGTCAAATTACTATGTTGTACACCTGAAACTAATCTAACATTGTATCAGCTATACTTCAATAAAAAACATACAAAAAAAGATATAACAAAAATGTGAAGTTATTCCCTTTGAATATTTATTTCTACACATATATACTACATATACTTATTGTTTTAGACTCAGTATCATCTCACATTTTCTTATGCTACCGTTCTTTAAAGATATGGTTATTTACCGCCCCATAATATTTATTAGAGGATCTATTAAAATGTATTTATTAATGTTCCTAGTGTTGGAAGTTTAGATCAGGGAGGAAAGATACTTGTGTGTTTATAAACGTGGACTTTTGGTTTTGTTGTTGTTGTTGTTGTTTTTAGGTGGGCTCTATGCCCAACATGGGGCTTGAACTCATGAGCTTGAGATCAAGAGTCACATGTTCTACCGACTGAGCCAGCCAGGTGCCCCAGAGACTTTGGCTGAATCACAACTTAGCAACCAAGTTACTTTACCTCTTTGGGACTCAATCTCTTCAACTCTAAAAGGGTAATAATAAGATCACCGACTTACCACATCTGTAAGAAGTAAGCGATTCTAATTACACATGTAAAGTGTTTAGCATAGTCCTTATACTCAGTAATTAAAAAACATTATTATTATTTCCTTTTGCTTTTTGTTATCTTCATATACACCATATTCTACTGCAAGATTCACTGTTGCACCAAAGAGAAGAAAAGTTGATGATTTAACTATGACAATTCTAAGGTACCAACAATTGGAAGATCCATCCCAACTAGAGATGTGAGAAAACTCAAAATTGATGCAATACAGGTATTTTTATCTGTATCTCAGATTATCTCATTTATTCATACTCTAGGACACAGAATCTGAAATACTGTTAGTATCTTAGTGTATTGTCAAACTGTTTACCAGAAAAGTTATTTCAAGTTATGCTCTAATCAGCAGCCAGCATCACAATCTGCAACATTATCTTTTTTTGCAACATCATCTTTTGAAAAAAATTCTATTAATTTGGACTGTAAAAGTTGTGGTATTTTAATTTGCATTTTTCTACTAGGAAGTGCCATGAAAAAAGGGAAGTTCTTATTTGTTAACTCATATATCCCAACCTCCTAAATAAATGCTCAATATTTTAACTGAATTTGTAATTAGTACAGATGTTTGACATTTTTTATGTCTGAGAATTATCCATTTATATCCTTTGACTCTATGTAATTCTAATGATTATCTATCTGTGCCACTGGCCATTTGTTTTCTGAGAATCATCTATTAGCCACTGTATACCAAGGTAGTGCTTTTCTTGAGGATTAGTAAGAGCCCTTAATGTATTAAAGATTAACAACCTGGTGTCATATTTGTTTCAAGTTTATTTCTCAGGTTTATATTACTTTTGTTTACAAATGCTTGAAATCAGTGGTTTTCCAGACTAGAAGAGGACAAAGAGGGATTAGAGTGCTGGTAATATTCTGCCTGAGCTGTGTTCTGGTTACTTGGGTATATTCAGTTTTTAAAAATTCACGGAGTTGTACATTCAAGGTTTGTAAATTTTTCTGTATGTTTTACCTCAATAAAAAGGTTTTTTTTCTTTTTTTAAATTTTATTATGTCATGTTAGTCATGATACGGTACATCATTAGTTTGTTTTTTTTTTTAAGATTTTTATTATTTGACAGAGAGAGACACAGTGAAAGAGGGAACACAAGCAGAGGGAGTGGCAGAGGGAGAAGCAGGCTTCCCGCAGAGCAGGGAGCCCAATGCGGGGCTCGATCCCAGGACCCTGGGACCATGACCTGAGTGGTTCAGTCATTGGACATCATTAGTTTTTGATGCAGTGTTCCATGATTCATTGTTTGCGTATAACACCCAGTGCTCCATCACCGGGCTAAAAGTGTATGTGGGGCGCACCGGGGTGCCTCAGTCGGTTGAGCGTGTGACTCTTGGTTTCTGCTTGGGTCATGATCTCAGGGTCATGAGATCGAGCCTTGCATTGGGCTCTGTGCTCAGCATCAAGTCTGCTCGATTCTCTGCCTCTCCTCCTTCTGTCCCTCCCTACCACTCCCACTCTCTCTCTCTCTCTCTCAAATAATAAATAAAATATTTTTTTAAGTTTTTTTTTTTTTATTTGAGAGAAAGAGAGAGAGAATGAGCAGGGGGAGAGGCAGAGGGAGAGGGAGAAGCTGGCTCCCTCTATCCTAGGGTCCCAGGATCACGACCTGAGCCAAAGGCAGATGCTTAAACTGAGCCACCCAGGCACCCCTAAATAAATAAAATCTTAAAAAAAAAAAAGATGTAGGAAAATTATATCCTTTATTATTGCTTCTACTATTTTTATTCTTAACAACTCAGTTAAATATTTCCTTGTTGTGGTTTTATTTTTATATTTAAGTCTTAAACCCATTTGGACTCTAGTGTATGAGGCAAAGGAAAATTTTTCTCCAAATAACCAACTTTCCCTGTACCCTTTCTTGAATAATCAATATTTATATATATATTTTTTACAATGTTTGATTCAGAATTAACTATTCAATCTCTCTGATCTATCATTTAATTTTCATCTAAGTATCACTTTATTACAATTTTAAAATGCTTTATCATCCACTAGAGAAAGTCTCCTTTCACTATTATCCTTTTCCATAACTATTTTTTTTAACTTTTTATTTTTATTCTTTTAGAGAGAGAGAGTGTGAGTGTGTGAGCGGTGGCGGCGGGGGGAGAGGGCAAAGGGAGAGGGAGACAGAGAATCTTAAGCAGTCTCCTTGCTCAGCGCAGAGCCCGCCACAGGGCTCTACACAGGGCTTGATCTCAAGACCCTGAGATCATGACCTAAGCCAAAATCAAGAGTCAGACACACTTAGCCGATCTTGCCACCCAGGCGCCCCTCCCAAAACTATTTCTAAATATTCTTGCCAGGTTGTTCTTTTCAAGTTCAACTTCAACAGCCTACCTTTTTTAATATATATGAATTTTTTCAGTCAGCATGGAGGAATGAATGATTTAGTGCACAGGCTCTAGACTCAGATTGCCTGGGTTTTGGTTAACATCCTCATCTGTCTCAACTTTCTCTGCCTTTCAAATCTGCTGCTTCTAATCTGATGGGGATACAGGAACTAAATATCTAAACCTTTTAAAACCGAGCCCAATTCTGTTTGGTTCTACAATGAATAACATTCATATAACCTTAACACTGTATATGCTATTTATGAGCCTTCCATTTTTAGAATTAATGTATAAGCAAGGCAAGACTTAACTACAGTAAAAACTCATATGCAAATGTTATCTCAATAATTAAGAAGAAATGGTATAGCATTATGTTTAATGAAAAAAGTCACTGTCTAAAAGCTTACATATGATAGGATTCTGTTTCTAAAAATAACAAAACTATAGAAGTGGAAAACAAATTAGAGATTGCCAGGGGAGAGGGACGTGGTGGGGAAGCAAATATAAAGGGGTAGCACAAAGGAGTTCCTTTGGAGTGATGGAATATTTCTACATCTTAACTGTGGTGGTGTTTACATGAATCTATACATGGGATAAAGCTGCAAAGAAATACACACAAATGCATGTAAAAAATGGTGAAAACTGGAAACAATTGTACTAGTGTCAATTTTATCATTTTGATAGTGTATTAGTTATATAACATGTTACTCAGGTTACACAAGGCTCTATGTACTATTCTACAACTTCCTGAGTCTGTAATTATTTCAAAATAAAAAGTTTTTTAAAACGTGCTAAAGCTGGGTAGGAAGGATACGGGGAGTGGGTCTCTCTTGGGGGTAATGAAAATGTTCTAATACACTAGACCCCGTTGAAAATGTACACTTTAAATGCGTGAACTGTGTGGATATGTATTATATCTCAATAAAGCTGTTTAAAAAATTATGGTACATCTGACAGAAGAAAGAAGGAAAACGTGGAAGGAAAGGCAGAAGGAAATGCAGAGTCACTTATTTTCTCATATGACACAGAGGCGAGCTAAGAGATACTGAGGGGGTCATACCAGCCAAAGTTAATGTAGTGAAAAATTGAGATTTAAGAATTCTACTTATAAAACAAAAAAATCTCACAAGTTTTTAAACAAAATTAAAATAATAGCATAAACAAAATTTAGGAAAGGGAGAAGAGTTGGGATGTGACTAAGTACACTAATTCCTCATCTTTTAATGATGGATAGTCAACTAATATTGGTTAATTCACAAACTGAAATATCAATATTATTAAGGCTCATAGAGACTAAAAATATAAAAGATAAATACAGTGTAAAGACCATACTTTGTGTGGAATGGAGTTGACATGAGAGACAGAAAGGGGAGGTAGAGATTTATTTTCCTTTGAAACCCTTATTTCCTTAAATGCATTTTTAATTTGTTTTATAATGTATAATATTTATAACTTCTATAATTTTAAAATATTAAACATATTAAACTCCTTGGAATTCAGAAATATCTAAATTTTGGTGGACACTAGCAATTTTTTATGCTAGAAAGCTTTCGTTTTTCGTTTTTTTCTTTTTTTAATGGGCTCTACACCTACTGTGGCTTGGACTCACAACCCACAAATCAAGAGCTGCACACTCCACTGACTGAGCCAGCCAGGCGCCCAACTAGAAAGCTTTTCAATTTGAACTGTATTTGCATTTATATATGTGATATAGTTTTTAAAGCAATAATATAGAATTGTTGCCTGAAGTTACAACTAATGGTTAAAGAATAATTGTAATTACTTTTAAAAAGTTCATCACCAGCAGTCAACCCAAACCCTGCCCCGCCCACCCCAAATCAAAGCTATGTATTACCTGTAAGAGATGATCTCCTTTAGATGATTGGTTAGGAGTTTTCCTCCCACATTTATCCTAAAAAGGGAGAATTCAAATTTGGTTGTTTATCATACCTTTCATTCAGTTTTAACCTAAGAAAAACATGAAAATTGAATACAACTCACCGAATAATTGCTTCTTTTTTCTTTTTACTTCTACAGTAAGGAACTATATGTGTAAAGGAATATCCACTATCTACAATGATACAGCATAATTCGGAAGGATTATCTCGAAAATACCTATGTGCACTGAGAGCACCAGCTATTTAGAAAAAGATAAAAAAAAACCTGCATTAAATAAAAGTGTACTTAATTTAAAGCAATAAAGAAAGGCAACAAATTAAGGCAAGCACAAAGACAAAAACTTTCCTTTATTTCTGTATGCTAATTTAAAATAATATTCATAATTGTCACAAACTCTCTGAAGCATTTAAACTAAAACATCACATTTTTGTGGTAAATGTGATTTTAAAAATTTTGTGATCAATTTTTAAAGGTAAATATTCATGACTTAATTATTTTAACACTATAACTTAATTATGAGCATTTATTACATGCTGGGCACTATTCTAAAAACTCCATGAGTATTTGTGTTTTAATCTTCACAACAATTCCATTTTATGGATGAAGAAACTGAAGCACAGAGAAGTTAAATAATATACCCAATGTCATACAATTAGAAAACAACGGAGCCAAAATTCAAACCTGGGCAGGGTGATTCTGGAGCAAGGCTTCTCAACCTCAAAACTACTGACATTTTGGGCCAGGTAATTCCTTGTTGCTGGAGGTTTTCCTGTTCATTTAAAGATGTTTTGCAGCATCTGTGTCTTCTACCCACTAGATGCCAATGGCACCCTCCCAGTTGTGACAACAAAAAATGTCTCCAGACATTGCCCATGTCCCCAAGGAGCAAAATCACCCTTGAAGAACACTGTTCTAGAGACTGTGCTCTTAACCATTATAGTATAATATCACTCATATGGACTTAAATTACTCAAGCTAAATATTTGAATACTTTCATTGTACAGTCATGTAATGTAATTCTAGTCTTTCATAAACTTACTTCTGGATGATATTTTCAGATTGTTTTTCCACATAGTGGCAGGCTGAGCTATTAACATTATTTCAATCAGTAATACTAATAATGATAGCAAACACATCAGTGGCAGAAAAGGTAACTACCTCAGAAACAATAGTCTTTTAGAAATTAAAAATATGTGGCTAAGGGGGCACCTAGCTGGTTCAGTAGGTACAGCATGCTCTTGATCTCAGGGTTGTAAGTTTGAGCCCCACATAGAGATCACCTAAAAAAAAACATGTGGCTAGTAACTGCATTAGGGAGAAAATACTGTACTAATATTAAGATAAAGAAAAGTCTGAGTAGATAATCTCTAAAAGTCCATCTAATTTTTAAATTCCATGTTTTATTTTCTTCAAATATAAAAGAATGTCACCCAATATTCTTGAATTTTAAGTGTTTCTCTTTACCCTATTCGTATCCATATTTCCATTAATAAACCGCAATCAAAACTTTAACTCACCATTTACTCTTAAGACTGCTTGGAACTGATACTCTTCAAACAGGATTTCATTCATTGATTCTTGAATTGAAGTGAAGTTAAAGTATGGTTCTGTAATAATAATATTGGTATCTAAAAAATCAACCTATGAGAGAAAAAAATCCCCCAAGTTTTATAATTTTGTAGTTATAAAACACTTGTTTTACATATATAAACTAACATTAAATCCTCACAATAATCCTAGAAGACAAGTCTTGTTACTAACCCCATTTAATTGGTAAACTGAGGTACAAAAGAGCTGACTAAGTTACCAAGGTTCATAGCTAGGATTTGAACCGAGAAGTTTGATTACAGAATTCATCACTTTATTATTTAATTTTAACTCTCTTAATGGTAGCATTAATAAAACGGTACTATCAAATTGTTTGAAGATCAGTATGCAAACGTAATGAATAATATAACTTCAAGCATTAGATGTTTTGTTTTCAAAGTTAAAAGGCCAGAAGCTTTAGCATATTTAATGTTTACATAATTCTCTCCCACACCCTTAAGAAGCATTAAAAACTGAATATTCATTCACTATACCTAAAGTTACACTACAGACATTAAAAGCACAAAATTCAGAGGCTGCTGGGAAGATGGCGGAGCAGGACATCCCTGTGCTGACCTCTTGCCGCGTGGCCGCCTAGAGAGCACCCACGTGGCATAAATAACCCAAAAAGCAGCCCGAAAACTGGCAGAACAGACTCTCCGCAGCCCGGCATAGACAAGAGGCCACAGCAAAGCAGATCCAACCCCTCTGATCGCTCTTGGCAAGATCCCGTCAAAGCGGTGCCACAAGCCTGGCAGTGTGTGAGCGGCCCAGACAAGGTCAGCACCACTCCAGAGTGAGTCCTGCCCCAGGGAGAGGGGAAGATAACCACACACCCATCTGACTGTGACCCCAGCAGTGGGCTGAGGGCAGGCAGCTGGTCTGACTGCAAGCCCCACCCACCAAAAAAGCTTCTCCGGGGACGACACAGGGACAGTGCCTGCAGTTTGGTGCTACTGCATCTCTGGCAAACATCTGGTCTGACTCAACTCAAGCCCGAGGCAGCCCCGGAGCAGCCCACTAACACCACGGGCACCAGACTCTGCCCACAACAGGCAGGGAGCCATCGCAGACAACAGGACTGAAGGCAAACACATCCCAGCCACAACGGTAGGACACCCCCTGGAGCAACACACATAGGAGACACCCCCTGAAGCACCAGGTTCTGGGGAACAGACATTGCACTGCAGGACCTCTTCTTCATAGAGCCACTACTTTCAAGTGCAGGAGACGTAGCTGACTTTCCTAACACAGAAAAACAGACAACTCAAGAGACAGAATGAGGAGACAGAGGAATGTGTCCCAAATCAAAGAACAGGGCAAAATCAGAGCAGGAGACCTAAGCGAAACGGAGATAAGTAATATGTCTGATAGCGAATTTAAAGTAACGCTCATAAAGATTCTCGCTGGAATTGAGGAAGGACTTCAGGACTTCCTTGAGACCCTCCACCAAGAGCTAGGAGATGTAAAAAAGAACCAGTTAGAGCTATTGGATTTACTAAATGGAAATAAAAATAGACTATCTGGAATAAATAGCAAGCAAGAGGAAGTAGAAGAAAGGACCAGCCACCTGGAGGACAGAGTCATGGAAAGCAATCAAGCCAAGCAGATGAGAGGGGGGAAAAATACACAGAAAGAAAATAGACCCAGGGAACTGAGCAACGCTGTCAGGCCTAACAGTCGCATGATAGGGATCCCAGAAGGAGAAGAGCGAGGAAAGGGGGCAGATTTGTCTGAAGAAATAATACCTGAAAACTTCCTGAATCTGGGGAAGGAAAGAGAAATCCAGATCCAGGAGGCACAGAGAACCCCCAACAAAACCAACCCAAAGAGGTCTGCACCAAGACACAAAGTAAATAAGACGGCCAAAAGTAGTGAGAAAGAGAGAATTTTAAAAGCAGCAAGAGAAAGGAAAGCAGGTACATACAAAGGAAACCCCATACAGCTATCAGTGGGTTTTTCAGCAGAAACTCTGCAGGTCAGAAGAAAGTGGCAAGATAGATTCCAACTGCTAAAAGGAAAAAATCTACAGCCAAGAATACTCTATCCAGCAAGGCTTTCATTTAGAATAGAGGGAGTGATCAAGTTTCCCAGAAAAACAAAAATTAAAAGCAAAACCAGCCATGTCCCTGTCACACACGATGCCATCGGCCTGTGGGCCCCAAATTCATGGTCCAGCTGCCCTCCTGCCCGAGTCAGCGTGCACGGCCTGTCACCTGCTAAATGCCAAGTCAACACGCCTTCACCTCAGATTGCCAAGGGCTCAAATTGACACCGTTCCCCTCAAATTTCAGCCCCTGTACCCAAGTTTGTGCACAAAAGTGGGAATAATTATAACAGCAGAATGAAGCAACCCAAACATCTATTTCTGTGGAATACAGAATGGATAAAAGGAGTGTGCTAGGCTGAGAACATCTCCAAAAAGCACATGAACAATACATACAGCATGATTCTGGTTAGTTAAAAAAACAAACCAAAAACCTGGGAGGAATAAAACAAGATGAAACTAGAGAGGGAGACAAACCATAAGAGACTTCTTAAGCATAGGAAAGAAACAGGCTTGCTGGAGGGGAGGTGGGGGGGATGGGGTGACTGGGTGGTGGGCATGAAGGAGGGCACGTTGATGGAATGAGCACGGGTGGTTGTATGCAACCGATGAATCACTGAACTCTAAAACTAATAATACACTATATTGTTAATTAATTGAACTTAAAATTAAAAAAAAGGAACCCCCCCCAAAAAAAGCACAAAATTCTCACATAATATTCACAATTCAGCTATGTGGACAAAAATATTTTATTGTGAAAATAAAAATGAGATAGTGAATTGGTCTAATAATAGTAGATGTGAATAATCTTGAGTTTCACACAAACTCTCTTAACCTCAAATTCCACTTCTATTCATTTATACTTATTTAGTATTTAAAAAATCAAAACTAAGGACAGTATATTAGTGACGTAAATGTATACTAGAAACATATTCAAAAGTTAAAGCTAGACACCTCAATTACCTTCAACTCCAATCCCAGACTTACTCTCTAGAATCTGCCCTTGGCCTTTCCTCTCTCCTGATACTGCCTTATATCTCACCTGAAATAATGCCACTGCCTTCTCAACGCCCTTTCTGCCTCCGTTCTCTTCTCATTGTCTTTTGTACTGCTAGCATAATTATCAGCAAGTATTTTTCTAAATCAGAAATCTGATCATCCTCCCCAAACGTATCTCTCACCACAGAAGTCTTCCCTTCCATGACTTGACATTGCCTATGAAACAGTGTCCATACACCTGCAATCTCATCTTACAGTGTGTGCTGGTAAATGTTCAACAACCAGATCTCCAGGGCCGGGGGTGGGGAGGGCAGGGGAAAAGCTCTGATTTGCAGGGCTTACCACTTCCTGTGTTATAAATACTGTCACAGTGGCTGATTTCCAGCTATCCTGAAGTCACCAAACTCTGAACACAGAGTTGGGAAGAGATGCATGTAATTGGTTCTCATGAGCCAGTGTGAGCCAACTTTCAGCACAAGACTATTCAGTAGAAATTCTGAGTCTATTCACTTTCATACCATGCACTCTTCCCTACCAGATTTTAGCACAAGTAATCTCAAGCATGTACTACTCTTCATATATATGTATATTCTGGCAGTATATATAATTTTTAAAAGTTAAAAATATGATGGATATAAATACACAGTGAACATGTGCAACAGATTTATTTAAGTCATATTAAGGCGTAAACTAGCTTTATACCCTATCCTGTTGGTTCTTGCATTAACATGAGTTACTAATTCTTATTGCTGTAATTTTTCATTTGAATAAGACATGGAAATAGAAATTTGAATACATACTCCAATTTGTTACCTGATACATTTCTTTTCCAAAAAGGTAATCCCAAACTTGTCTTTGAACATCCCAATTCACCAAGTAGCCCTAAAAAAATTCTTGTATAAATTATCACAAATATTTGAATAGTTTTTAAAAATCATATTAATAAAGTCTAAACCACTAATTTCTTTTTATGGTTACGTTCACTACACAAACATTTTTTAAGGAGATGCCACTCCATACTTACTTTTTTTTTTTTAATGTGTTCATCTCATTTAGCTTTAACATAAACAAGTAAAATTCAGTACCCACAATCAGTAACTTAAGTTATGGTCATTTATTGCTAAGAAGACAATTTAATTTCAATTTTTGGTTTTAATAAGATCTTATTTAAAATTTAAATAACTTTTTCTCAGAGATCTAAAAATATTTCCATACATACAAAATCTTAATTATACATTTAAAAACTGTCTTTACATTTAGGTCTACATTGCTAGAAATGACATATAACTGAATTACCTTCTGAAAAGGAAGGATGTAAAAGAGTCCAGAAGGGTCCTTTATTTCATCTATCTGGTTAGCAGTAAAAGTTTTAAGACGTGCTGTTTTTGACCTGAACTGACAGTTAGGAATTACCCTATAAACAAAGAAATAATATAATTATTCCCTAAATACTCACTTCCAAAAAATACAATTACTTAACCACCCCCCTCCGTGACAAAAAATATCCACAACCAGTGTTTCCCATTTTGTCTTCAAATAATTAAAAAATGTTTGTTTGTTTGTTTTTAAGTTCTAATATGCACTAGACTCTACACTGGACCCTTTATCTTTCTCAAGTAATCCTTAAGAAATCCTTCCAGGTGGGTATTGATCCTGCCATCACACAGATGACAGTCAGGGCTTAGGTAAAGTTCCTGGTCTTTCTGGCTTTAATGTGGAAAATTTTTTTTTAAAGATTTATTATTTATTTAAGAGAGAGAGCGCAAGCACACAGAGGGAGAGGGAGAAGCAGACTCTGCGCCCAGCAGGGAGCCCTGTGGGGCTTGATCCCAGGACCCCAGGATCATGACCTGAGCTGAAGGCAGGTGCTTAACTGACTGAGCCACTCAGGCGACCCTCTAACGTGGAAATCTTAATACCACTCTGGGAAAAGATTTACAGATTCAACATTCTTGCCATTAAAACTAAGTCTCTAGGATGCCAAAGAGTTTCAATTAGCAAGATACTACAGGGTACAGAAGTAAGAAGTAGTTTTAAATATGGTTGCTGTCCACCATAGGCTTACAATCTGGTTAGAAAGACAAACTAGAGTCATCATCAACGATACATGTGTACATGTGTGTGGAGGGAAGGGGGAGGAGAGAAAGGAGGGAGGGAAGAGGGCAGGAGGGAGGGAGGGGGAGAGAGAGATGAGAGAGAGAGAGAGGGAAAGGATACTGGGATAATGTAAAAATGTTTTGTATCTGCTTCTTTCATTTACTTTGCTGTCATTTTCTCTATATGTTTAAATATTCTTTGAGGACATGATTTTTTCTTTAAAGATTTATTTTAGAGAGAGAGAGTGAGAGAGTGCAGGGGCGAGGAGGGGTTGGGGCAGAGGGAAGAGAGACTCTCAAGCCAACTCCCCTCTGGGTGCAGAGCCCAACGGGGCTCAATCCCAGACTCTGACATCATAACCTGAACCGAAATCAAGAGTCTGATGCTCAACGCACTGAGCCATCTGGCGACAGGAGGACGTGATTTTTAAAAACTGCACTGTAATCAATCTTATGGTTATAATTTTAGTCAAATTTCTATTCTTGATTATTCAGGTTGCATTCCATTTTTGTTTTTTACCATACACAATGCCTATAATATAGAGCATCCTGTATTTACTCTTATCAAACACTTCTAACTTACTCCTTAGGTGACTGATAACAGAATTACTGTGTCAAAGGATAACAACAATGATACACCTTGCCAAAACATTTTCCAGAAGACTAACAATTTACATTCCTACGCGGTTTGATTGTCCTCTTCAAAAAAGAAAAAAAGGAAAGGAGGAATCCCCTGTAAACATTACAGAAGAAAAGCATCTTTTCTTCTCTCTATATACATATATAACATATATATTTAATGAATGCCATTGTAGTAGTTCTGTTAAATCAACTCTATCAACCGGGTCGGCCAATGATTACTACGAAGGGCTTAGACACGAAGCCTTCAACGTCTCCAATCAGTAAGAACTGTTTTTAAACTTTTTGGGGGTCACAGAATCCATTGAGGACCTGATGAAAGACACAACTGCGCCTTCAAGAATACGTAAATACACATAAATGTCCACGATTCCTGTGGGTTCATCAACTCTGTACGCACCCCTCCAACAGGAACCGCTTCTCTAGAAGCCTATTTTCCTGAGCTATTTCCTGTTACGAAAGGAAACGTATGTCCCACTTCCGGGGCCGCGTAGCTTAAATTAACACCAAAGTAACAGTTCAAAGCATCCCAGTCAGCCAGCTCCACCCAGAGCATCCCTCTGGCGCAGGTTAGCGCCAAGTAGAGACATCTGCAGTTTACTGTGATCCTGAGATGAAGGATAGTCTGTGAAACCACTAGGCGTCTGTCTTGTCCTAAGGACCGAGAGAACACTTACGACACATTTTCATGGCTGTAACCGATTTTGGCATTGTAGGCTCCGTTATCCAGCACTAGGGTCGTCATTTTAACGTGAACCAAACGGCCGGCCGCCGCCTTCTCCTCCTGACACTTCCGCTCCCGCTTTTTCCGGTACTCTATGGTTTGCCGGGCGGAGCGTAAGGGTGCTTCCGGTCTCCCTTAGCAACTGAGGACGCCGGAAGCCAGAGACGGCCCTCTCTGTCTGTGGGTTAGGGGTTGTGCAGTTCTCAGTCTAACCGGTTTACGTCGGGGAGAGATCCAACAAGAGTGGAAACAGCTCAGTGCTTTTTCGCCCATTGCATTGCATATTTGTCCTCTACTTCGCATACTGAGTCGCTCCTACAAGTTTCTTCTAATCTCCGTGGTGAACCTACAGCTTTGTGCCTGTGTATGTGTGTTTTCGAGTAGTACTGTTCAGTGACATTTCCTAAGGAATAAAGTGCAAAACCATAAACAGCATGGAATTGGACATGAAGTCTCTTCAGCCTCATTCCCGCCAATGCCCATTCGACTGTAGGGTCCAGCCACCCTTAAATTACAAACATGCTGTTCCGTCAACTGCCTTGCTTTTCTACTCATTCATATTCTTCCTCTGCCTACTTGTTCTTCATAACACTGCTCCATCATTCCTATCTAAAAAGGTTTCTTGCTACCTCACACCACTTTGTTCTCACTCTTAAAATTAGGTGCTGCTATGTGTTTTTGTAATGCCCCGGGGTAACTCCTATATATAATAATGGATAAGAAAATGAATTTTGTATTAGAATCCAGACTCCACCACAAATTGGCTGTGTAAACTTGAGAGATGAAGATGATAATGGTTAACACTTACAAAGTGCTTAATACCTGCGAGTAAACTTTCTAAGACGTTTATACATATATTAAATAACTTAATCTTTAAATTTATGGACTAGTATTGAAATCAAAGAGATAGTAACTAATAGTGCAGTCTCTGCATTCAAACTCCTGGGCCAAATGCTGGCTCTTCCTAGATGCTGTGGCCAGGCTAGTTAATCTCTCTATGCCTTAGTTTCCTCATCCGTAAAATAGAGTAATATTAATAATACTCCCTTGCAGAATTGTTTTGTGAAGAGCAAATGACAAAAGTCAAGTCCCTGGTAGTAGTAATCATCATCATCATTGTCATCTTTTTGTCATATAATCATTCTCTTTTTTAAAAGATTTTATTTAAGTAATCCTTACACCCAAGGTGAGGCTGGAACTCACAACCGCTAGATCGAGAGTTGTACGTTCTACCGACTGAGCTAGCCAGGTGCCCACATATAATCAGTCTCTTAACATGCACAGATGGCAAACTCCTTGAAGTCAAGCACTCTATTCTATTGGTGTCTATATCCTTTTGAATTAAAAAGTCATTGAATATACAAAGTTAATTATGTCCAATTTTAGTTATTGTATTTTCTCTAATTTATTTTTAAATTGATAAGATCTCTTACTATGAATACGTAAGGAGTGTTTTATAAAACTTACATAATAGAGCTGCCATCATTTCTGTCCAGCTCTCGTCTTTTAAAATATGCTCTTTCCTTCTGATTATCAGCCCTTTCTCCTTTAAGCTTCTCTTTTTGCTTTCTTCAACATTTACATGCTCCTTGATCAAGATCATTTTTGTTCTTGGTTTCAGCTGCCATTAAATAATGACAAATACTAAAGCAGAATTTCTACCCCCAACTGTAACCTGAATGTTTCTACGCAGGAATCCTAAGATAACTTTAATAGCAACAAATCCAAAACTGAATTTTTTCTCCAAAACAGTTTGTTCCAACTAATTACTTATCTATATTAATGGTGTGTTCCAAACCCCAAGCTAAATACCTCAATCACCTTCAACCCCAATCCCTGACATACTCTCTGGAATCTGCCCTTGGCCTTTCCTCTCTCCTGATACTGCCTTATCTCTCACATGAAATAATGCCACTGCCTTCTCAGTGCCCTTTCTGCCTCCATTCTCTTCTCATTTTGATCTGTCTTCTGTACTGCTAGCATAATTATCAGCAAGTATTTTTCTAAATACTTATATCTTACAGTGTATGCTGGTAAATGTTCAACAACCAGATCTTGACGAGGGGGGGCAAGCCCTGATTGGTAGAGCTTATCACTTTCTGTGTTATAAACACTGTCACAATGGCTGATTTCCAGCTATCCTGAAGTCACCAAATTCTGAACACAGAGTTGAGAAGAGATACATGTAATTGGTTCTCATGAGCCAGTATGAGCCAACTTTCAGCACAAGACTATTCAGTAAAAATTCTGAGTCTATTAAAAAAAAAATTCTGAGTCTGTTTGCCTTCACACCATGCACTCTTCCCTACCAGATTTTAGCACAAGTAATCTCAAGCATGTGTTACTTTTATTAAAATACAATTCAATTGAGTAAATTTGAAGATTTAATTGGCTTTCCTAAAAAAATATTTTGGCTTTCCTACTGTGGAAAGAGCCAAGATGTCCATCCACAGATGAATGGATAAAGAAGATGTGGTATATATACACAATGGAATATTATGCAGCCATCAAAAGGAATGAGCTCTTGCCATTTGCAACGACGTGGATGGAACTGGAGGGTGTTATGCTGAGTGAAATAAGTCAATCAGAGAAAGACATGTATCATATGACCTCACTGATATGAGGAATTCTTAATCTCAGGAAACAAACTGAGTGTTGCTGGAGTGGTGGGGGGTGGGAGGGATGGGGTGGCTGGGTGATAGACATTGGGGAGGGTATGTGCTATGGTGAGCGCTGTGAATTGTGCAAGACTGTTGAATCACAGATCTGTACTTCTGAAACAAATAATGCAACATATATTAAGAAAAAAGAAAAAGAAGAAGATAGCAGGAGAGGAAGAATGAAGGGGAGTAAGTCAGAGGGGGAGATGAACCAGGAGAGATGATGGACTCTGAAAAACAAACTGAGGGTTCTAGAGGGGAGGAGGGT